AAAAAAAAAGACGAGATCATCAATCTAAAAATGTTTAACATTTTATCAACTGTTTTGATTTTAATACCATTTAAAATAGAGCAAAAAAATGCTTCATTTCTATCATTATGTCGAACATTCAAGTTTTATCATTTTAAACGTGGCTATGGTGTAATACTTTGACACTTTTTATTTACTATTATTTTAAAAATTTAAAAATATTTATTTTATTCTCTATGGAATTTAGTTATAACAAGTCTTGGGAAACATATCAATGAAGTATTTCATTTGTGCTACGAATTTGTCATGTCGTAAGGCTTTATGAAATTGATCCAAATATGTACTTAAACTAGATTGGATCTAGATTAAGTTAAAAATTAAGTTTTTTAAATCTGAAAATTAGATACATACGTATATATATATACAGGGTGTCCCGTGAGGATATACCCATTAGCCATAGAGTAGGACTCGCCGCCCGTACAAAAACGGTTTTTTTGCTGTTTTACCTATTAACTAAAAAATTGATTAAAAATCAGGAGATTAATAAAATTTAAATGTTGAAAAGTCAATATTTTCAGAAAAATGAACTCTACAAAATGGCTATCTTCAATTTTTTTTAAATACCTAATTAATAAAAAAATATATTTTTTAACTTTTTTACAGAAACATAAAAAAAATTAAAACATGAATTATTTGTAGTGTTTATCTCTGTGAGTCTTAATAAAAAAACCAGAATTATGATATCTACATTATTTCAGGAGATATCGCAATGAGTAAATCCTCACGGGACACCCTGTATATAATATATATATATAAATTGTGTCTACTATACATTATCTAAAAGAACCATAAAAATGACATTACAACTACATCCAACTACATTGACTTTCCTACCACAAAAGATGATGTTGAAGAAAATCGAAGAACTTTACTCACAAAAAAGGTGATGATAGACACAAAAAAAATATACATCATTGTCAAATCAATGCATTCAGAATCTGAAATGTATATGAATTGTGTGAATAAACCAGCGTTTGAATAACAGCTAAACCAAAACCGAAATCGATATCAAAACTGAAATGAAATCGAAAAACACAATGCCGGGAATCAAAACTACAATCGGAAAAAATGTTTTTCTCAGGTGCCTCTTAAGTTGTTAGAATAGTAGTTTAAATATATTTTCGACTTTCAAAGCTTTATGTATTGAAAATTTAAAACTGGGTTCCTAATAGGTATTCTACTTGCAATCAATTTTATTTGTTTATTTTCATCAACTGAATAAATATTTAGTATGCAAATCAAATATTCCGAAATAGCTCTAGGCAACGTAAACAGATGTATTATAATTTATAACCCTTGTTATACTTATACGTGAATGATTATAGTAGGTTGAATTAATTTTTGCCAAAAAAAATGTATTAAAAGTGTTATTATTGAGTGTATAAAATAGAATACTAGCGATATTTCAAAAATTTCAACTAGTGGGGTTTACTATCTACGCTATGAGACGCGTCTCGCCATTCATAATAATACCAGATGGATGATACTATGAACTAAGATAGTATGGTCTGGAAACGAAAGTCTAAACAGCGGCCCAGTTTTGTTTTTAACATTTTTTGGTGGGGGGAAATTAACAGATTGTGCTGTACCCTACTGATGAATATCATAAGCTACTAATGTGTAATCTTTTTCCATGGTGTATCCTGGTAATATGATTTAAGGTGATCTATTTAAATCGTGAATAGTAATAAGTAATCACCACCACGAACTAAGATACGATATTGTTGCAAGTTAAATTTATATTATTTATGATTATTCTTGTATGTTAACTAATTTAATTAAATATGGATATTTTGTACTTAATTGCTAAAAACCATAGCGTGAAAATAATGATTGGAAATTATGGAAATCTTATACAGGAGATTAGCAATAATCATCATCCAAAAGTTCTTTAGCTTCCTATGTACCCGTATCAGCTATTTTATCCAATCTAGAAGCCAACTCTTTAATTTGTATGGATCTCATCGACTGATCAGCATCAAAAACTTGTTTAAGTTAGAATTAGAACAGTGTTTCTCAACCGGGGGTCCGCGAGAAGGTATTATAGGGGGTTCGCGAAAAAAAGGCGTAATGGCGGAGAAAGTGAAATTTGTTGTACTTGATGTATTTGTTATTGTGTTTTGTGAAATATTGTAAATCGGTTTTTCCTAATATATGATATAAGTGTATATAGGTATAATAAGAGTATAATATGAAATATATCATTAATAGGGCGCGGATTTTTATAATGATTCACTATAGGTTAGGCGGCATGTGTACACTGGATTTCATCTAATTTTATGTGCCTACCTATAAAAAATCCATTAACAATTTTTATCTTATATTCACATAAAACCACCACTGAGCGGTTCGTATGATATTGAAATCGATACTAATAACTAGACAGTCAATTGCTTTCAAAGTGTCCATGTCACACACATAGTACATAAATATTCATATTCGGAAAACCATTTTTTTAACATAATATTTTTGCAATTTTTGCAATGGTTAAAAACTGGAACAGTCAATAAACGAAAAACTACTGAATTAACTGATCCTATTCAAAGCACTCAAGGTATGCCATCGTCGATTACTAATCTTAAAGCAGAAAATTCTAAAAAGTTACCACAGGTTAGTGATACTAAACTTTTAATTCCAGGAAAAATAAGGAAATATTCTGAGGAATATTTGTGCCACGGATTTTCATCAGCTATGATTGATAATGTCGCTAGACCTTAAATAAATAAATAAAAACTTATACAATTAATCTTATCATCGAGAAAATTGATTATATAAATTATTGGTATTATGACGGTTCGGCAGGTAAATGGTTAAACGTTGAACATTATGTCAATGTGTCTTAATACATTAATATACCTTTAATATTCACTGTACAAGTAACGAGTACATTCAACCTAAATAAAAATTAAATCATTTCTTTGTTTAAAAAAAAAATTGTTATTTTATTCTTTTGATAAAAAATAATAACATAATAATAATGGTCTTATAAAACAAAATATGCTTTTGGACTTTCTCTGACCATAGAAGATACTGAGACTTCAAAACAACAAATTAATTTAAAATTTATGAAAATTAACAATAGAAAATGTAATAACAAATTCAACGTATTTGAATTAAACAATTTAATACTTATACTTTAAGCTTTAAAGTTTAATGTATAACATTTCTTAACATTCTTAGGTAATATTGGAATAAACTAATAAGTAATAACTAATGTTGTAAGTAAAATAGAAACATTAGCATTTGAAAATTAAAATAATAAAAATGCAATTATTGTTTCGGGTTTAAGGATTTAAAAACAGAAACTAATTTTGAGGATTTTTCTACACCTAGTCTATTAACTTAACGTTTTGTGGGCAAATCCAAATGATGAAAAAATTATTTCAACTCCTGCAGATGAGGCAACGATTGAATGTAGTCTTTTAGCTATGGTTAGCATTTCCTTTCTTCGGTCAAGTGCTTACCACTCGTATCGGACATCGCCACATCGGTATATCAGTAGTTACAAGTTTTAATTAGTATTAGACAATAAAACAAGAGATTAAAACAGTTTAAATCAGTTTAAAAAATAAAAACTGTTTTGTTGTTTATTTTTAAAAAAAACATGATTTTTACCAATCCTGGCAAAAACAGCTAAAACAATATACAAGTGAATCATATTATTGTATATACTTATCAGTTATCGGTGAAACCCATATTTATTACTTTTTTTTAATACCCTTTTTTCTCCACTGTTTTTCCTGTATAATGGATATTTTTATATTTTTTTTTTTTTATATTTTGCTGCCCTTCCAAAAGTTCTATCCGGGGTTATCCTATTGCCTCAGTTGTAGCAGGTTTTGTGCAATTATATTGTATGTTCAAAACGTTTCATTGCCGTACGTTTTTTTTCCGAAACTTGTTATTTCCAAATGCCCATATGTTAAACGTATTTATAGGATGGATTATATTCTCACAAAAACGTGTTAAAATTGCAATTTAGATATTTAGAATTAACACATAATTATATTAAATTAAATATTTTATCAAATCAGTGAACATTTTGACTTGAAAAAAAAAGACGAGATCATCAACATAAAAATGATTAACATGTTATCAACTGTTTTGATTTAATATAATTTAAAATAGAGGCAACAATGCTAGATAATATGTTATCGAAGAAAATCGAAACACACTCCTGTTAAAAAAGGTGATGACAGACACAAAAAAAACATACATCATTCTAAAATCTATACATTTCAATAAATTTCATGAATCTGAAATGTGTATGAATTGTGTGAATAAACTAGTACTTGAATACCAGTTATACCAAAACCGAAATCGATATCAAAACTAAAGCGAAATGGAAAAACAATACCCAGAATAAAAATTAAAATCGGAAAAAATGTTCTTTTCAGAACAATATACCTTTTAAGATGTTAGAATAGTTTTTAAAAAATATTTTCAATTTTTAAAGCTATGTATTAAAAATTTAAAACCGGGTTTCTAATAAGTAGTTTTTACTTTATACTACTTGCATTTATTTTCCTACTTCATTGGTATTTAATATTTATTTATTTTTATCACCTGAGTAAATATTTAGTATGCAAATTAAATATTCCGTAGTAGCTTTAGGCAACATAACCGTTGTTATACTAATAGGTAAGTGTTCAAATACAGTAGGTTGAATTAGTTTTTGCCAAAAAAATGCATTAAAATTGTATTATTGCGTCTATAAAATATAATACTAGCTAAACTTCAAAAGTTTCATGTACCTTTTAAAAAAAATTAAAAAAATACCCTTTTAAGTACAACTTAAAAATAGCACAATATTCATAAATATTTTCTCGATCGTCGACCGATTTATGGATAATGTTGGGCATAAATCAGAAAATGTGGCTGAAGCAGTGATATCAACTCTTAAAAAGTACAATTTGAATCTTAACTATTTAAGGGGACAGTCATACGACAATGCAAGTAACATGTCGAGTTGTTACTCTGGATTACAAGCTAGAATAAAACTGATAAATCCATTGGCTAAGTTTGTTCCCTGCTCGGCCCATCCATTAAATTTGGTGGGACAAAATGCAGCCAGCTGTTGTACAAAGCTATTCATTTTTTTAACTTTCTTCAAAACTTGTACTCATTCTTTTCAGCATCGACTTATTGTTGAAAGATTTTAAATTCTTCAATCAAAAGATTGTCAGATACGAGGTGGTCTGCAAGAGATGATGCGTGTTATTCATTGAATAAAAATTGGTCGTCTATTGAAAATGCCTTGATTAAGATTGGAGAAAATGAAAAAGAAAAGCCCACTATTCGATGTGAAGCAAATGGTATACTTAAAATACTTAGATCATTAGAAACATCTTTCTGGTCAATTTTTTGGGGAGACATATTACATAGATTTAATACAGTTAGCATAAAACTTCAAAGTGTAAATATTGATTTTTAAGTGTTGTTGTTGAGCTTTTTCAATCATTAATTAATTATGATAGTGATATTCGTACGGACAAAGACTATGAAAATTTTAAAAAAAATGCTATTGAAAAATGTGGTATTGTAAACTTCAGAAATACTCAAAAACGACAAAAAAAAATTAAAAAATTTAGTGATGACAGTTCAACACAAAATATTGTCACTGATTTTAAAGTTTTAAGGTAAATACATATTTTTTTATATTAGATCAATTGAAGTCAGAATTGTTAAAAAGAAAAATTGCTTATGATGACAATTAAAAAAATTATTACTTTTTTTTTAATTTAACTAAAATGACAGCAGCAGACATAAGATTATCTGTCAAGCTTTTAAGAAATTAATACAAAACAGATTTGGGAACTTCATTTTCTAACGAATGTATTCATTTTGGTAGTTATTTAAAATCTATTTCCAATTCTCCTCAAAGTATTCAAGACATGTTAATGTTTATAAGAAAAAATGATTTGAAGGATCTTTCCTTATGTGGATATTGCCTTACGAATATTATTATGTACTCCAGTTACTAACTGTTCTACTGAGAGATCATTTTCAGCCCTAAAACGCATTAAATCTTACTTAAGGTCAAACATAGGTGAAGAAAGACTATCTGCATTAGCGATTATGAATATTGAATCTGATATCACTACAACAATAAATTATGATGATATTATTCAGAAATTTGCTCAAGATCGTGCACGAAGAAAAATATGAAACAGTTTTTAAGTATTATTTGTTGAAGTGTATTTATAATTGTTTTAAATATATTTATATTTATTATCCAAAAACATATTTATATTAAATGTATACTTCTTTGGGGGTGGGGGGAAGGGTTAGAATGTTGCCCCAGGGCGCTTAATGTCTAAATGCACCACTGTGGATACTACACGGTAGATCCATAATCGAGTAATGATCTAACAAAGGAACAGTATAGCGATTTTAACGCTAAAGGATTGATGAAGTCTTTACAGCTGCGATTTATGAAGCCTGGCATTGAAGAGGCTTTATTTTGGATTTGAAAATAGTGATCATTAAACAAAAGGGATGGGTCAAAAATAAATTTCTAAAATAGCCTTTTCTTATTTAATTATTTGTGGCATGTCGCATCATTTAGAATACACTCTCCCAAAGTGTTGCTTTAGTTGCCATGTTGTTAATTGTGAAGAACACAATAAATATTTGACAAAAAGTATTGTATGTTTTTTATTACAATGCGTATGCATTTTGTTGTAAAACATTCTAACTATAATGAAACTATAAAAAAGGAAAAGACCAAATACAGTAGAAAAGTATCAAAACTTCAATTTTTGTATAATTTATATACCCATATAGTATGTTATATATGTTTTACTTATCAATTACCTATATGTATTAATGTATTATATATTATTTATCATTATCATATTTTGGCGTTAGTAAAGTTAGTATTTTGACTCGTAGTCACTACAGAATATTTTTAACTTTTTTAATACTCAAAACCTTTTGAATTTTAACTGTACATTTAGGTGTACTTTAGCAACTTTAACACATGGAGGTAAATAGGTAATGAATAATAATTCATCATATTTAATTAAAATTCAAAAAGTCAAAAAGAATGTAGCCCTTCTATCGAACGACACGCTCCTGGTGGCAGAATAACCTTGCGTCTCTAACTCTAGTCGGTCCATATTTTATTTCGGAGTTAGATCCTCATCTCTAATCTTCGAATATTCATAATTATGATACCGATATTGGATAATCAGTAATCGGATAATATATTATTAAGTAAGTTGTTCACTAATTGTGCACATTGTTAAAATATTCAAAGAATTTAATGATTTATTTGATATTCAAAAGAGTTGAATTTGAATGAGTTAATATTATCATTTTTAAATATTTATGTTCTTAAGTATTTACGAACGAATATGGACATAGATGGTTTACTTTTATGACGCATCTGCATATTAATTGAATCATTGATCATGTCTGATGCCGTTGTCGTAAAGGCTAAAACCGAACGGAAGGTGTTCAGACCATCAGCCAAAGTGCTGAACAAAATACCCGATGAGATTACCAATGATCCTGAGCTGATCGCCGCTATACAATCGTTACCACCTAACTACAACTTTGAATTGCCGAAGACCATATGGCGACTACGTCAAATGCAAGCCAAACGCGTTGCATTGCAAATGCCTGAAGGCCTGACCATGTTTGCTGTACAGTTGTGTGACATTATTGAAAGGTTCACTGGTGCAGACACGGTAATTATGGGCGATGTTACTTATGGCGCATGTTGTGTTGACGATTTCACAGCCAAAGCGCTTGGTGTCGACCTTTTAGTACACTATGGCCACAGTTGCCTCATTCCTGTCGATCAAACTGAAGGGGTCAAAGTGCTTTATGTTTTTGTTGACATCAAGATTGATGCTATTCACCTCATTGAAACTGTGAAATTGAACTTTACAAAACAACAGAGACTATTGTTTGTAAGCACTGTTCAGTTTGTCACCACTTTGCAAGGATTGATTAATAAATTGAAAACAGACGGGTTAGTAGCTGAACGTTATGATTGTCGTTCTAATTGACACTTTGTAAATACGGACAAGATTTTTCTATTTTCACAATTTTTCTATTTAGTTATTGTGTAAAAGTTCCTCAAGAAAAACCACTGTCACCCGGAGAAATTTTGGGATGTACCTCACCCAAGGTTTCAGATGCCGATTGTTTGATTTATCTAGGTGATGGTCGTTTCCATTTAGAATCTATAATGATAGCTAATCCTGAACTTGCTGCATACAGGTAAACAAGTATGGCTAGATTTGTTTAATTTTTTTTTATAATGACATATTTTTTGACATTTCAAATTAAATCCAAAATTATTAGGTATTTCTTCCTAAGCTTATACAATTTGTGGTCCATCAATTATTATGAATTTAAATAAATATGTTAAACACATAATATAATTTTTAATATATAAAATTAAATCATAAGTAAATAATTATTATTACTAAAAATGTTAATGATCAATTGATAATGATTATTGTCATATAATATAAATATGCAATAAATTATATTTTAAATAGTATTTAAGTCCTTGTACCTGGCAAAGGATATTTATAGGTAATTTCAAATAAATACTTAGAATATTTAACTATTATATTATTAAATAATATTAAACTAATATTGAAACTCTAACAAAATGTAAATTCATGTAGCACTAATAGCCAAGCTATGAAACTTCAAATCAAAATAAAGACCGATTGAAAAAAATAAGAAAAATAAATTATCTATTTTAATTTTTCATTCCATATTTTCATATTATGTAGTTATAAAATTAGATATTATTATATAAGATATTAAATTCAATAAGCATTAATACAATATTGTTTGTGACATGCTCATTAATTTTAGGTATGACCCATATGAAAAAAAATTGACCAGAGAGTACTATGATCATGATGTCATGAAAGATACACGGCTTAAAGCAATTGAACGAGCTAAAGATGCCAAAACGTTTGGTTTGATTTTAGGCACTCTAGGAAGACAAGGAAGTACAAAAGTTTTGGATTATTTTCATGTATGTTTAATATTTAAATGTAGTTATTGTTTGTAAATGTATGTAATAATAGTCAGTTTGTAATGTACTGTTTTGTTTTTAGGATCAAATGAAATCACATTTGAAAAACTCTGTGACTATTCTTTTATCAGAAATATTTCCACAAAAGTTATCTTTTTTTGGAGACACAGTTGACGCTTGGATACAGATTGCGTGCCCTCGGTTATCTATCGATTGGGGCACTGCATTTGAAAAACCATTTCTGTCGCCTTATGAGGGTGCTGTAGTCATGAATCAAATCGATTTCAATTGCAAAGAAAGTTATCCAATGGATTATTACAGTAATAACAGTTTAGGCGCTTGGACACCAAATTATAGACCAGCCAATGGTTGTTGTGGGAAATGTGCAAATGGTTCAAAAAGTGATGCACAAAAAATAGGGTGTTCAAATAGTCAGTGATTGATTGGTTTCTTTTTATGAGCTTCAATGCATTTTTTTACTGCCTGTTTATATAAATAATTATATTTTTTAGTTGAATTTTATTTAAATAAATTTCTGACAACAGTACTGTATGATTTTTATTGAGCATGTCCTAAAAAAGATAAATTATAATATATGAAATACTTGGCATTAAGCTGTGACTGAATAATGTATTTATGATACACATTTCACAATATTTTAAATAACTGAAGATGACTTATATAATTGGTCAATAGTTTTATTTTTTTATTTTAAAAAGATAGCAAATTATAACAAACAATTAATAAATCTTATTAATTTAAAAATTTACGTTTGCATGACCAATCAATTTTAATTGATTTAAATAATAATCATCTGTAGAATCATATGCATTCAAGTTAACACAAGATTGCCTACACATATTAATTTGACAAATAAGTAATTATTACCCTCTCCAGAAAAAAAATACTCAATAAAATATTTTAGTAGATAAATAAAACATATAATAAGTACGTATATCAATTTTGAAATAGAATAACTTTTAGGTAATAAGACTAAAATTAATTTGGTTTGGTTGTTTGAATTAAAATAAAAACAATGTTTTATAATTAAAAGTATACAACATTATATTAATAAATTCTAAAAAATTTAAAGCTTATTAATAGTATGATTAAAAATTATTTATGTAAAATGAATAAAAAATAAAATATTTTTACAAGAAAAATAATAAACTAAAATTTCAACATAACATTTTATTTTGTCAATTGAAATAAAAATTATTACAATGAAAAGTTTGATCAATTATTACATTTATAAAATAAAATCTTTCTACCCGTGTCATGGTATTTTGCAAACATTTTATATCCAATAATCATTTATAATTAAGGTGATAACTAATATTTATTAATTTCTGTAAAATACATTTTATGTAACTCTATTAAAATTTAAAATAAATACAAATTTTTTCTATATTTAATAAAATTTAAAAAACATACAATTTAAATTTATGTATATGGCTAATGAAAAATAATTTCTTTAACTATTTTGTTATTCTGAAAATGCTGGTTTTATTTATACAACATAATACATTGTACTAATTACTAAGTATATTAAATGTGCAGTTTGTTTTACAATTTAATTAGAAAATAATTAATGGAAAATATATGTGAATAAAATATGAAATGTTTGTATAATTTTAATTAGTTAACTATATGTACTTGAGAAATTTAATTCTAAATTAATCATCGAATAAACTAATTAAAGATGTATATTTAATTTTTATTCTTACAACCAAACTATTTTAGTAAAAAATTGTTGAGAATACACACTTGACTATCAGTATGTTACATAATGAATAGTAATGAAGTATAAGTAATTTACTTCCTTGTACACATCATATGATTATTCAAAAAATGACTATATAATTATACTGTTACATGACTTGGCTTTTAAAAACAAACATTGACAACAATTCATATCTATACATTTAAATCAGTATATTCAATTGTTATAATATTATGTATAACAATTGAATATTATTGATTACAACAAGTTATTATTATAATTTTTTAAGTTAGTAAAAGTTTTACCTAAAAGACAAAAAAACAGAATAACAATAAATGATCCATAATTTATGTATATGTTTAATTGTACATCAGTTCAGCCATGTCAGACATTTTTTTAGGAATGTGTACTAGATCTTCAAAATAACTGGCCAACTCGTCAATTGTTACATCATCCGTGCATGGTATGACATTAGTACACTCGTTACTATTGTTGTTATTGTTCAGTGATAATTCTGATAGAAATTCATCATCGGTTGACCATTTTCGATTTAATTGTTTACGGTTAAACCTTCGATTGACAGGTACAGGAGATGCTGCTGCATATTGTTGCTTACATCTCTCTACTCTGTTTAACTTAGGAGGCCTTAGTATACAATCTTTTGATGACAATTCAGTATTTTGTTTTTGAGGATATGCACAGGTTAGTGATTTTGTATTCATGCAACGGCATATTACACAACCAGTTGGATATAGTTCTTTGTTATCATTGTCCTTTTCCGCACTGTTTCCAGGATATTTATGAGGCCTAAAAATGTAATTAATTTTTGTATAAAAATCTAATTAATATATCAACTACATACCTAAATATTTAACCATTTTATAATCAAACATATTCTTATTTTTGTTTAGAAGCTTAATTTAAATAGGCAAGTATTAATAGGATTAGATAATTGTATGTTAAATTCATAAAAACATAATAACATAGTAAATATATACACATAAATAAATATACTTTGATTATTGGCTAATTCAGACCCTTGACAATAAATGAAAATAAATGTTTCTATTTATGTGTCCAATCTATTTTCTACTTTCACAAAGAAGTTGATTTGGAGGGTGCCCCCTCCCAACAATCATAATATAATAATAACACTGAGGTCAAAACCATTTATTTAAATGAACCAAAGTAAACACAATAATCAGATAAATACATATCAACATTTGTGAATTGCAATGGAAAGGCAATAAGTGATAAATAAAATTATGTCCAGCCGTGTCTAACCACCTTTGTAATAATGAATGTGTGTATGTAAATAAACAAAAACAGTGACATTTCCCGAAAATCAGCTGTACAATAATTACAATATTTACCTGGTGGGGTCGATTTCTAAATTGTCGAGGCTGAAAGACAACAGATGAGTTTCGGAATCTGTCATCCCTTTTGTATTTTCTAGCAGAGTTGCCATCTTCTCATCCTATCGAAACAAAAAACCATACACGTCAAACAAATATCCGGGTTACTGGAGTAGTTGTCATCGTCTTACCTACGCTTGGTCAAAATTGATAAATGCGCAATTGTTTTTCCCGGTCCAAACAACACTCTGGAGTCGTATCGCTTACGGTGAGCGTTGTTGGAAGGCTCAAATAATTTGGTGCTTACGACAGAGTAACAGAATATCGAATCCTGTGGATTTGTTCAATGTAGGTTTGATTAAAAATTCTTCCTCATTTGTAAACAGTAAATAATAATCACAACAGTTTTTACGTTGTTTTTGTGCGCACTAGTCACTAATCTTTTATTCGTCATTAAATTATAATCAAAACAAACAGCACAGGCGTCAGTCATACCACAGACCAAATTAAAGAGACATACAAATATTGAAATACCTAATCAGCTGATCGGTGTGTTAAGTTTGTTTACATTTTTTAGGTTGGCCTACGCCAAGGTTTACTGATTATATGCAAAAGGTAGATAAGATAAATATGTTTATTATCAGCAAATACTATTATAGATTAGTAAAGTTATCAGCTATGGCCTTCGTCGTGAATTATAATTTATTTAGGATTAATGAATATACACTACACAGTCACTTGTGAAAAAAACCTTTACGGCTTTACCCCAAGAAGTGGCAAGAGCACTGAACTGCTCGTAATCACGGATTTACCTGTTTTCCGCAAAATAGTTCCAAACTATGTATAAGTAAATTTGTTTAAATTCAATGATTGCAAATATACAATTTTGTTTATGGAAACAACAGTTTTTATTTATTAACCTATTAATGAAACATGTTACATGTACCTAATTCAGTTGGGCTAACACTCCAACTGCTTAACTATATTATTAATTCACCTTTAAAATGAAGTGGTTCGTAGTATAATTACGCTCGCTGTATAGTGTTACCTATGTCTTATGTGATGAGTGCTGCACGCACACGCAATAGTACTATTTTAGCAAATTTGAAACGGTTATGCCATCTTAAACGTTTCCGTAAAACAATTTTTACACCATCGTCTTAAGCATAAAAAACAATTAAGAACTTAAAAAAGAAATTGAAAATCGTTAGGCGGCACTGTTTAGTCACCGTTTTAAGGAATAAAAAATAGGCAATTTCCATGTATTGATGCATATAGCATATTGCATGCTGATTGCCGATCTTGTAAGACGCGAATGCGTAATAAACTAATAACTAATAATTATTGATCATGTGTATGTGTGTGACTGTAGTCTAAAAGAAATAGCGGAATGCTCCCGCAAGCACATGTACAAGTCAGCGTGCCGGTTGTGCGTTATGCGAGTGAACGGTAAACAATTTAAGGTCCCCAAGGCCCACATACTGCAGCGGTACCGGTAAAATGAGTCCGTTTGCCCCCTACCAGGCCTACCACTTCAGTGTGTGTGGACCTTTATGCTAATTTGCAAGGCTGGGAGAGTTACGAAGTCTTTTAAGCTCGTTAAGTTAATATAAGAAGAAGTAAGTGAAGCGGTTGCATCAGGTATAGGGCATAGGGTAATCGTAATTCTTAAATTCATAATAAATGTATACCTAGAAATCAATATCATATAACTTGTGTTGTCATATCAAAAAATTAAATTAATTATTATTGTATATATTATCGTGTACCTAACTATGGGTATAATGAAATGTATTATATATATAAATTAATTATTATGTATTCCCCTCTTAGATATAATTATTTATATGTATATTAATTAAAACAAATATAAATATTTAGTAAAAATGTAAATGCATTATTAACGATTATTTTTACTTAAATAATTAAAAATTAGTCATTCAATGATGTTTCGTCGTTAACAGGTTTTATTAATTTACATTTTACATGACTTTTGTATTCATAATATCGTTTACAATTTTATGATTTAGATTGAACTCTTTTTTGTATAAGTCATAGACCTTTCCCATCTCTCAACTCTGCAGGACTTTGAAGTTTTCCAAAGTCTGTTTCAGGGCTCGAGCTCAGTTTCGGCAGTTTATTTTGTAGACTCTAAAAACGGACCAGTTATAAAATATTAAAATAGCCCTTGAATTGATGATGTGTATATCAACTGTTCACAATAACCGAGGTAATTTACATAAATAGTACACGAATCCGGTCGGAACATAGAATTTTCGATAACAATGTACAATTGTTAATAACATTAAACATGATTATAATAAGCTGCGATGTTCACTGCATGTCTGCATATCCAAACGTCGGATTTCATGTTAATCCTACTAGATAATATATTTAAAGATTTTGGAAGACAAGGATAAGTGTAAATATAATAAATATACCTAAATATATGCATGGACACTTTTCAGGGTGGCATTGGCTTAATATTATAGCATCAGTATTGACGCCAACAATTAAAAAAAAAAACAATAAAGCGTTTAACATGATAACTAAAATAAAAAAGCGTGCAGCTATCCTCCCCCAAAACCTAATCAGATATGGGATATGCAATAAAAATATTTACCGTAAAATAGAAAGCAATTTCTAAGATTTCATCTAAATAACCCCCCCCCCACCCCACCAAGAAAAAAAATTAAAATTAAAAATGTAGATCATTTTAATGCCTTTACCTAGCTGTATGTTTATCAATACTGCAGACATGGTGGTGTCCTTATCGCCCTTTCTCGACTGAAAAAACCGTCCATATCATTATGATAATACGATAAAATAAATAAATAATAATATGTAGATATACGATAAACACGAGGATAAACAGCTATACCTTCTACGAGCTATTACGTTTCGATTTCGAAAACCTGCTCAAGAAATTGTAAATACGCATTAATATTATACATGAAGGTAGGTACGTCATTAAAATAATATTATTACTTCGGTCATTATTTTGTGGTAACATCATTGACAATAGCTTGCAATAATTACACACTTGTAGTTTGTTTAAGTTTGTTTTTTTTTGTAGTTTGTTTATTTGAATTAAGATGAGTTCCGATGAACGAATGGAATCGAAAATTACCCTAAAAATAACAAATTTTTTTGCTCCACACTGAAGAAAGCAAAGATAAATGAAGTAACGAATATATCAAAAAATAAAAATGTGAGGTATAAAAAATTAATAATATTATACTCAGTTGAATTCTATTTGGCTTCTGGTATCAATGTATCATATGGCTTACTAAATTCTAATAAGAATAAAGTAGTAGATATAATGTTATCTATTATACATTTTAATGAAAAAAACATATAATATAACTATATAAGTAATAGCCAATAGGTTAATAGGTAATGTATCTATAATATTATTTTATTGACAATTCAGTATAGCCGTATGCCCATATACCGTACCTATAGGTAATATAACCAAAATTAAATATTTGATAATAAAAAAATTTAAAAACTGAAGTTAGTTTAAACGCCGAAGCGTAACGATTAAAAATATTTTTGGGGTGCATACAAATTTTATTAGTGCGTATACCCATAAATATATTTACCAATACACCACTGGTTACGTTGTTGAAGTTTTAAGGTGACAAAAATGAATTGCTCAAAATATTAAGACACACTGATTATTACTCGTTGTAAGGAGTCCTGCCGGCTGCAGTTGTCACTCACACTTCACAGGATTCGGTATAGAGAGGTTGTTTGTTGTTACCATGTTGGATGGTGCGCATACACTGTCTAAGTGACGAAACGGTTATGCTGACCGGAGAGTGGTAAGGGACTTAATCAAAGGACTGTACTGCGCACCCGAGAGGTAGATTTCTCTTCGGCAGCAAGGACTTTTTTTACCATACCCTTTTCTCTGGCAGCGTATAAAAAAGGAAGCACTCTCAAGTCGTCACCGTTATCTGCCATACAATTGTTTTATTGGGGTTTTTATATTTCCAATTTCTATACGTGCGAAAGTCTGGCCGTTATTTATTAGTATGGTACATTTTATTTTATTTCTATAATGATGTGTGAGCATATCATTAGAAAATAAAAAATATTAGGTACATACAATTTCAAAAAGTAGTGTCCAACATTAGCATATTAGCATTAGTTATCTAAATGTGAAAACATAACATTTCACAGTGTTATGCAGTATTTTTGAAAATAGAAGTTTTCATACAAATTTTTTCAAAATTAATCATTTTTAAAGATTTTAAAATTGTTTTTTTCTAATGTTTTTAAGTAAGTTTTTGAAAAAAAAGGATTTTCATAAATAAAAGTTGATTAGGAGGTACATATACTATAAGACGCTTCGAGATGATTGTGAAAAAAAAAATCATCATGAGTATAATTCCGATTACAATATGTTATACTGGACGCTGATAAACGGGTTGAAGTAGCAACTGTTCAATATAAAATATTTATATTAATAACATATTTTATACTGATTTAAAAGTTAAAACAATAATATGTGTGTGTGGCACGGTCTGGCTTCAGATACAAAACATGATCTGAGGGACAGTATCGGCCGGTGCCACTACTTCCTGGATGGATAACTCCGGGTTCTTATTGACAAATCCTTTTCACACATACAAGTGTTACAAATAAGCCATGTCCTCCTTCACAGTTGAAAACCTACTAAAAGTAGCCACCTAACAGCCTATGTTGCCTCGGGTTAATTAATAAAAAAAAAATTAATATTTGTTTTACCCGGCGTATAGTATAGGCAAAATAGGTACATTACTGCAGTGTTTAAAATTTTCCATAATAAATTGCATTTTAGATCTTCTCCACTGCGTTCGGAGAGAGAATATGGTTGACAAAACGTGTGTATCTTACTGTAAAAACTCAATCCTCAGCACCAATCGTATGCACGAAGTAATCACATTCTCTTGGTGAATGGAGTATACGTATGATACATAATGTATCCAATATTGTGTAAACAGACAAATACGAGAATAGAATTTAAAAAAATAATGGGTAAGTCTATATAAAATATTTAAATTATAAACAAATTTATAAAAAAATCATTACATTAATTCTATAATACTATTAAAGTGTCGTTTAAAGCTTAGAATGACCTCATGTGCTAGTCCTACTACTCAATGAGTAACAGCAGTGTTAGGGGTGGTTTCCATTCATATGTATGAATAAATGAAAATGGAACTATTCTTCGGAAATGTAGTATTAGATTTTTTTTTTAACTTAATTCTGCCCAGCTGTATCGGTGTTTACTGTAAAAATAATATACATTCGTCAAGCTGAATTTGAAAGAGTAGGTACAAATAAAATGTGGAAGCCACCACAGAGATTATTTTCAATGGGAAATACATGTTTATTCAAAACAAACAAAATGTCTAATGGAAAACTTAAATGTTTATTATACTACACATTGTACAGACGATAACATATCATATGTATATTAATTATAATAATGTACACATATATTTAACTAGTTATCGACAGTCTTAACAAAAATAA